GGGTATTTATAGTTGAAACTTAGGGACTAATCTTTGAAAATACCCTAAAGTCTAATGACTAAAAATAATTAACCCTTGCTTAAATTCAAAATATGGCTGCCTAACTTTGAAATTTAAAGCAGCCCCCTTTGAAAATTCAAGCAGCCACCGGCTGCTATATTATTTGACCAACAATCTCCCACTTGAAGACTGATTTTAATTTGTCTTCACACCTCGATCAATGCAGCAACATTTCTGGTCTTGTTATCCTAGCATGCCAACTGAAGCTGAACACAACTTCAGTTTATCCGTGGTCACCGTCTTTGTCAACATGTCTGCCGGATTTTGAGCTCCACTAATCTTTTCAAGTTTCAAAATCCCATCTTCCAGAAGAGACCGGATAAAATGATATCTCAATTGTATATGCTTCGTTCTGGAATGAAAAGACGGATTCTTCGCTAGATGGATAGCACTTTGACTGTCGCAATACAAGATATTGTTTTCTTGTTTCTTGCCTAACTCTTCCAAGAAACTTTGGAGCCAGACCATCTCCTTGCTGGCTTTCGTAACAGCGACATATTCTGCTTCGGTTGTGGAGAGAGCAACTATCTTCTGTAGTTGAGAAACCTAACTCACTGTGGTTCCTCTAGAGTATAGACATACCCTGTAGTGCTTCTTCTGATGTCAACATTTCCGGCTAAGTCAACATCTACATAGCCTGTCAGTATCGTATCTCACCTTTGAAACAAAGTTCTTTGTTTGTGGTACCCCGCAGATATCTGAGGATCCATTTGACTGCTTCCCAGTGTACCTTGCCCGGATTATTCATGTACCTGCTAACAGTTCCCACTGCTTAAGCAATATCTGGTCTGGTGCAAACCATGGCATACATCAGACTTCCAATTGCTGAGGCATACGACACCTTCACCATGTGTGCACGTTCTTTCTCCGTCTTTGGTGACTATTCTTTGGAGAGCCTGAAATGAACACCTAAAGGTGTACTTACTGGTTTAGCATCTTGCATGTTGAACCTGGAGAGTACTTTGTTGATGTACTCAGCCTGTGATAACATCAAAGTCCCCGACTTTGTGTCTCTCTTGATCTTCATCCCAAGAATCTGCTTTGCAGCGCCCAGATCCTTCATAGCAAACTGCTTCGACAATTTTTGCTTCAAGTTTATAATGTATTGCATGTCTGAGCCTGCAACGAACATGTCATCAACGTACAATAATAAAATAATAAAGTTGTTGTCGAACCTCTTGATGTAGCAACAATGATCTGTTTGACATCTGGTAAAACCACTACTACTCATGAAGTTATCGAACTTCTTGTACCACTGTCTAGGAGCTTGTTTTAAACCATACAAGCTCTTCTTCAACCTGCATACCAGGTTTTTCTTGTCTGCCTCTATGAAGCCTTCTGGCTGCCTCATATAAATTTCTTCCTCCAAATCATCATGAAGGAAATCTATCTTTACATCTAACTGCTCAAGATGTAAATTCTCTGCAACTACAATTTTCAACACCAATCTGATTGTAGACAATTTTACGACTGGAGAGAAAATTTCATTGTAGTTAATACCTTCTTTTTGCTGAAAGCCTTTGACAACCAATCTTGCTTTGTAGCGTTTGCTCCCATCATGCTCTTATTTGATCTTGTAAATCCACTTGTTGTGGAGCGCTTTCTTGCCTGGTGGTAATTCAGCTAATTCCCACGTCTGATTTGACATAAGCGAGTCCATCTCATCTTTCATGGAAGACTCCCACTTGACTGAATCCTCCACCTGCATTGCTTCATCATAGCACTCTGGTTCACTATTGTCAGTCAGCAACAAGTAGTGTAAAGAAGGCGAATAACGCTGGGTTGGTTTAGGAATTCTGGAGGAGCGTCTCAGTTCTGGTGTGCGTGGTTCTTCTTGAACTACTTCAGGATTGATCTGAACATCATTTCCAGAAATCTCCTTGAACTCAGCAAATTCCTTTGTTTCAGCTTTGATATTACTCGATTCTGCGGTTGACATGTCTTTGTACATCACATTTTCATTGAAAATGACGTCTCTGCTTCTGATGATCTTTTGATTTTCGTAGTCCCAAAACCGGTAACCGAACTCATCACCACCATAACTAACAAAGACACATTTGTTGGACTTGGCATCAAGTTTACTTCTTTCAGCAGAGTTTATGTGTACATAAGAAATACAACCAAACACTCTTAAGTGTGAAAGGTTTATTTCTTTCTTGCTCCAAACTTCCTCTGGTATTCCACCATCCAAAGGAACTGAAGGCCCGCGGTTGATCAGGTAAGCTGCAGTGTTGATAGCTTCAGCCCATAGCATTTTGGGCAATCCGACATGTATCCTCATGCTTCTGGCACGTTCATTCAGAGTTCTGTTCATGCGCTCTGCTACGCCATTCTGCTGTGGTGTTATGGGAACTGTTGTCTCCATCTTGATCCCATTGTTTGCACAGAAATCTCTGAATCTACTGTCTCTGTATTCTCCTCCATTATCAGACCTCAATCGTTTGACTTTCAAACCAGTCTCATTTTCCACCTTGGCCTTCTATTTTCTGAAGGTATCAAAGACTTCTGATTTCTTCTTTAGAAAATAAACCCATACCTTCCTTGTTGAATCATCGATGAAGGTGACATAATATAGTGAGCTTGCAAGAGATGGAACTGGGGATGGTCCCCATACATCAGTATGAACCAATTCTAACCTTTCTGCCTTGGGAGTCTTGCCAATCTTTGTAAAGCTGACTTTATTTTGTTTTCCAAAGATGCAATCCTCGCATTCCGACATCTACATTTTTTAGATCCGACAGCTTCCCTTTTGACAGAAGTATCTTCATTCCTTCTCGCTCATATGGACAAGCCTTTGGTGCCATAGGTTTGATTTTCCATCAGCATCTGTTACTGCAATGATATTCTCTAAATTTGAGGTTACATAGAGAGTACCAGTCTTCTTACCATGAGCAATGACGAGTGCTCCTTTGGTAATCTTCCATTCACAGCCTGAAAAGGTTGTACTATATCATTCTCCATCAAGCTGTCCAACAAAAATCAGATTTCTTTTGAGGCCAGGAATATGTCTCACTCCTGTCAGCTTCCAGGTGGTCTGGTTTGGCAGTTTTAGTCGGATGTCTCATTTTCCGACGATCTTCAAGGTTTCATCATCAGCAAGATGAACATTCTCAAAATCACCGCTGACATAGTTCTCCATGATTTCTTGGCATGGGGTGGAGTGGAAAGATGCCCCTGAATCCAAGATTTAATCGGACTGTTGACGCTTAGAATCATGGCATCACCTGTCTCCTCTGTCACGTTGGCAGATTCCTGTGCACCGATATCTTTCTTCAGTGCTCGACAATCTCTTTTAAAGTGACATTTCTTGCCACAATTATAACAGATAAAATCTTTCTTTCTCGTTCTGGATTTTCCCCGTCTGGATTTTGATCTGCCACGATTTGAATATCTTTCTGAAGTTCTTCCTCTAGACTCCGTGTGCAAGGCTGAGGAGGTTGATGCTTCACCCGATTCTCTCCGTCAAATTTCTTCGCTCAGTACCAGATCCCGAACATCGTCGAATTTCAATTTACTATTTCCCGACGAGCTGCTAACTGCTGTAACAGTAGCATTCCAACTGTCTGGTAGAGATGATAAGAGAATTAAAGCTCGAACTTCATCATCGAATTCAATTTCCATGGAACTCAACTGGGTTGTGATTGTGTTGAGTTCATTCAGGTGTTGAGCCACTGATGCCCCTTCCGTCATCCGCAAATTGAATAATCGCCTCATCAAATGAACTTTGTTTGAGGCCGATGGCTTCTCATACATACTGGAGAGAGCCGCCATAAGACCCGCCGTGGTCTTTTCCTTTGCTATGTTGAAAGCAACATTTCGGGACAACGTCAGTCGGATGACTCCGAGGGCTTGTCTATCGAGAAGAGCCCAGTCTTCATTCTTCATGCCCTCTGGTTGCTTTCCTGAGAGGGGTTGATATAGATTTTTCTGGTACAAAAAATCTTCAATCTGCATCTTCCAAAAGCCAAAGTCCGCACCATCGAACTTTTCAATTTTTCACCTTCCCTTCATCTGCAGCCATCGCTCTCACTCGAATCTGGCTTCTTTGGATCGTTTCTGACAATTTGTGCGAACCACCGTGTATTATAACACCTCTGTCGACAAATTCGTATCGCCGACAAAATTTTTACTATTAACGAAATTCACTATTCACGTTAATAGTAATGAATAGTAACCTCGCAAAAATTGACAAAATTCACAACCAAAAAGCCCTGATTACCAGTTGTTAGGAAATATAACGAGAACGAGTAATTTCCCTATAACCAGATTAGTGAGAATGCGAAATAAAAGCGGAAAAATAATACCCGAAAAATTGATAACGGAGTTCAACCAATTGTGCTTACGTCTCCGGACTGCTGCAGATCTTTTACTAAGAGAGAAAATTTACAGGTGTTTACAAAAGACTCACTACTCACAAGAAAACTCTCTAGTATTGGAAGGAAGAAATGATTTTGGGATGATTTTCAAGCTAAATGAGCTAGGGTATTTATAGTTGAAACTTAGGGACTAATCTTTGAAAATATCCTAAAGTCTAATGACTAAAAATAATAAACCCTTGCTTAAATTCAAAAATATGGGCTGCCTAACTTTGAAATTTAAAGCACCCCTTGAAAATTCAAGCAGCCACCGGCTGCTATATTATTTGACCAACAATAGAAAAAGTATATACGTTTATTCATTCTGGTAGATGGTAATTTGCTTCAACAGTAAATGATAGTTTCATATCTTCTTTTCACATTTTTCCATGTATCAGCCTTCTGCAACGACAGATAAATCTTGCTCAACATCAACTTAAGAGGGTAGAATCTAAACTATTAACTTTGTTAACAAAACCACCTAGTTGTCACTAATTTCACTAAATGTTACAAACCTTTTCAATTTACAGGAACAAAATCAAGGCATTAACTTCCGGAGTACCCTTCCTATCAATTCAACCACTACCTATGGGGCACAAAAAGGCAAACTCCCAATGACTTGGCCTAATGTAGCAGGTTGGCCTGCACCTTTGTATGATTTGGGTTCATGCTGGAAAATCTGATCTGTTTTGAATTTTTCTGGCATTGAAATTATATATATCAAAGTTGTGGTTTTTATCTTTTCAGGCTTGAATGAATCTATCGACCCAGCACTACTGAATGCATTGCCTTTGGATGTAAGTGGCATGTTAATTAATATTTGTTTGAGCCTTTAAAACACCATCTTTTACGCTTTTTGACTCCATATATGTTCAAGTCCTGCCAAGTGTAAATATAAGTGTGCTTAAAGTTCCACTAACAGTTCTGTACTTGAGCTTGTTTACCTGATTTGGGACATAATTTAAATTTACTCTTTCAGGCTCCAAACTATCAGCAACAATTTCAGATATTGAATTGTCAACCAGAGAAATCAAATAAGGGGTTGTCACTTGTGCCCGAAAACCTGACACCTGCTTTTACTGGAGGCTCTGCCAAGTTCAATTATCATAATCTCATCATTCCTAAGCCAGAAACAATTGAGAATAACAGACTGGTCAGTGAAGCAGTGACATAAACTTATGTGTATATAGTTTTGCTTTCTGTAAAGATAATATGTATTTCGAATCTAATGGATTTGTCACTAGGTACCCTCTGTAAGATGTTATGATCCATGATGATATGTATGCTATAAAACCTCTCCTCTAAATAGTCATAAATTAAAAGGAGATCTTACAGTAGTAATTGAATGCAACTTCAAACTTCTATGGTTGTGTTATTGGTTTCACTTGTTACAAGCTCTTTCACTCTTGTTTTTTTTTTTTTGGGGGGGGAACTATCATGCTTCTTTTCTCATTCGTGACTGATTGGTGATGAATCAGATGCCAATCCAAACCGTACAAACAGAAGAACATCAAAACCAATATAGTTTGCTGCAACAACTGCAGGTAATATACAAGTAATTCTTAAGGAAGGCTGATGCTATTGCATCTTCCATCTTGGTTGAAAATCCTGGAAAAGTCTGTCTATGTGAATGTATAGTATGGTATCACTTATAGTATTTTCTTTGATCAGACGGGTAGAAAGAAAAAGAAATTATCAAATTCAACAACAGCAGATCAGAAATTGGTATGTCATAAAACTTCAGAAAATATTTGATGTCTTTTCCTCTGTCATTGACCTGTGATATATGACGGGGGTTTATTCCATGTTAGTGTAGAATGTCGTCATATTTTCTTGGTCTATACTTTGTATGATCCTATTGCTTTTTCTTCTTCTTTAAGTCGATCTTTTTTCTTTTGTTTGCATCATGATTGTTGCCTGTTTCATGGAATGTTCATCCACAGGATTTTATCAAGGCTGAGGAGCATAAACCTATTGATGACACCGTTGATTCTTTTCTGTCCCATGATGATGATAGTGTTGATAATACAAACACTCCTTTCAAGATTTTAAAGCGCCGTTCTAACAGGCCCAATAAAACTGAACATAAAGGTAACCCACAATTCTGTTAAGATTAATGGAAAAATGATTTTTAGTTCTCCTTAGGTGCTGATGCAATGGAAATAGAAGGTTTATAATGGTTAATTGATCCTACATAGAAAGGTGCAAGTGCAACCCACTTTAACTGTCTGAACTTTTCAACCTTTTCCATGCTCTGCAGTCTGCTCTCTCCCCTAACCATGTTACATTGCTGGAAAATAGTTAAATAGCTTGGGAAGAATATTTTGTTGTAGCACTTAATCAGGTTTGATAATGAAATCTTTTTATCACGTCCTTCTCCACCAAACTTGGTGTAGATTATGTGTGAGCACGTATGTATATACAAAAGTATGTGTGTATATATATATATACATCTTTTGATTTTTCATAACAAAATAATATGAGATTCTGTTACGGAGAAGCACTTGTGGGAGTAAAATGGTAAATATTTACTGAAACAACCATAATAAGATGATATGTCATCACTGATGTAGGCTTCACATTTGGGGAGGTTAGTTGCCTCCACTCATTCAAAAGCAAAGTCTTGAGCTGCCATTTTTCATCAGATGGGAAGTTTCTAGCTAGTGCGGGGCATGAAAAAAAGGTGGTATTAAGTTGTAATGTAACTTTTGGTTCAAGCAATTTTTTATACGTCTAGAGCTAATTGTAGTTTTCTTCTGGCAGGTGTTGATATGGAATATGGAAACCCTTGATTTTGTTAAAACTTCGGAGGACCATTCTCTTCTCATTACGGATGTTCGTTTTAGACCATGTTCAACCATATTTGCAACATCTTCATTTGACAAAACTGTCCAAATATGGGATTCTGCCAAAGTAAACAATTTTCTTTTGGAATTTTATCAGATATTTATTTAGTATCAGCAAAATTTCTGTCTGCTTGTTCAGAATGAAGATAGGCTATTGTATAACTAATGTCCTCTATAGGGCTCTTTTTGTTGCTTAGATGGGCAGACTTGTAAACTGCACTTAATTTTCTTTTCGACAATGTCTTCATTTTCTTTGCTTTGCAGCCAAGCAAATCACTTTTCAAGCTTGTGGGGCATGCTGAACAGGTTTTATCATTGGATTTCCACCCTGGAAAGGTGGATCTCCTTTGTTCCTGTGATAGTAATAATGAGATGCGATTATGGAATATCAACCAACGTGCTTGCATTCATGTCTCTAAGGTCAGCTTCTGAGCCTTGTGTGTGTGTGTAGAATTTCTCAAAGACATCTTCGTTTACTACTAATTTAGATTAGAAATGTTACCATATTTTCTTAGTTTCTTGAGAATAATACATCACCTCAGGTTAAAATTACGAGGATGACCAGTTTTGTTTTCCTAGAAAATGCATTGGGTTGTGAATAATACATCTTCTACCACTTATAAAGCCTTTTTGTGCCTATGCATTTCAGCTCAGCATACTTCTTGAAAGACCGTTTACGCTTAACAAACATTGAGAAATGGTTGAAATCTACATTTTCAGAATTTCTAGTTTTACACTCTTATGGGTTTCCGCAAAATAAATGTATATTGAAAGGAAGTTTAAAAACAGCAAATAATTCTTTGTATGGCATGACTCATTTAGCAAATATCTGTAGTACTTGTAATTGACGAACTTACATCTGGTCTTACCCCACTAGATTTCTATGTTCTCCAACATAAGCACACTTATGCTTATCACAATTTCCTAATGAGGTGACTGCAGGCAGCTACTAAGCAAGTCCGATTCCAGCCTCGACTAGGCATGTTACTTGCAACAGCTTCAGGAAATGTTGTCAATGTAATCGATGTTGAGACTAACAAGCCTCAATCCTGTTTGAAGGTTGGTTCACTCCCTATGTTATCGTAACTTGCACGTATCTAGACATCCATTTGTCTCCTTGCTCCTCTGAACGATTGTTATATTCTTTCAGGGGCATAACAAAGAGGTTCTTTCAATTTGCTGGGATCCATGTGGCAAGTATATAGCCTCCATCAGTGAAGACAGTGCACGCGTGTGGTCAGTATCTGGAGGAGAATGCTTGCATGAATTGCGCTCAACAGGCAACAAGTTCCAGTCCTGTACATTTCATCCAGCATACTCGCAATTCTTGGTCATTGGTGGCTACCAGGTATATATTCAGAATATTATCAGAAAATATTGTCTGTTACTCTTATGTTTGCAAGCATTTTCTTTTGACATAGATGTTTATGATGCCTTAATGCCTCCATAGGTTGATGTTGTCTTGGCCTAGTGTTCATTTAAAATTCTCTGCCATCCTTTTGCAATCTTTGCTAATGTCATTCTACCTTTCTATTAAGATCAATTTTGTTTTTTTGTTAACAGTGTCTTGAATTATGGAATCCAAATGAGAGCAACAAAACATTGGCAATTGACGCACACAGGGGACTTATTCTTCACTGGCAGATTGTCTACACACTGAAATGATTGCCTCCGCTAGTCATGACCATGCGTTAAGATATGGAAGTAAACATTCCTTCCTCAGGGGAACTCATGCATCTGCTTGTGCATTCCGAGCATTTCTCAAAACAAGATGCGGACTTTTGTGGTAAAGTTTATACAAGTATGGATAGACTATTCTCACATGAAATACAACCGAGACTGAAGTATGAAACGCTGCCTTTTTTTATTCTCTCTGTTCTTGTTGGCTGCACTTTTGATCCCTTTGTTTTTACATGGGAAATACAAGAGTATGGTTAAACAATAAAAATGGTGATTTCTGACGGAAGAATGAATTAGTTTTTAAATAAAGGTTTCTGGATACTGCTTCAAAGAGAATGACCCATTGCATCAGTTAAACAGAGAAATAACACACCTTTCCTATGACTCAGGTATAGTAATAAACATTCACTGCCGATTTCTGAAGAGAAGCAATAAGCTCCTTAGGTTTCCCAGGACCAGCTTGTCAGTTCACCAACCTCAACAATGGCTTGTTTTCCTCCTCCAACTTGAACCACCCTTTCCTCAAATCCTCTAACCGCTGCAGTTATCGTGCAACTTTTTAAAATCAAGCTCGGAAACTAGAGTGCTTGGGCAAAATATGCATGACAACTTCCTCTTCAACCCGAGTACATCAGCAAAGAGCTTCATCATGGGTACTAGATAAGCTATCTTTGATGATTGATCAGCAGGGTGCCATGGAAAGGTCCAATAAAACACCACTTGCATCGACTAACGAATTAAGGTTGGTCTTTAAAAGAGGATATCCCCTTCAAACAAAACAAAAGGTCAGGGTAAACAAGAGCTTCAAAGTTCAAACCAACTAAAATGAAAGGAGAGAGATAAAAATGCGCGCGAATGACCGTATGCTTTGTAGCATTGGCTGCATATCTGTGGTATTTGGCTAGTTGGTGTATAGGGGATATTTGCATGATCATAAGTGATGGTGTTGGCAGGGTGAAAAGTAGAAATCCTCGGCAGAAACAATACTTCAAGGTAAGGAAATTCATTTTCTTTGAGGCCGGCCGATTCAACTGCTTCGGTCAATATGAAAAAGGCCTCCAGTACAGGTGGCTAAAACAAGACAGCCCCGAGGAAGACACAATGGCCCATTCAACTCTCAAACACATGGCTCTTAACTAGTCTCTTCGGTCCCACTTCCATCAAGTTATTATTATATATATATATATATATATATTCCATGTTTTGAAATTAACTTCTTCTAGATTCTTTCCAATGGAAAATGTGTCGTACATGTCAAGAATCTAACTTTAGCTAAGTCATAAGGAGATTGTCAAGTATTACGATTTACGAATCCCGCGTACATGCCAACTTAATTTACATTTATTCTAATTAGTTTAAATGTATTTTGCTTTATAAAAATAAATTAACTTGCTCTTAACAACGTTGTTAAATAGAACCCAAAAATATAAAATATTAAATAAAATCGAATTCCAATTAGTAGGCAGCGTGATTCATAAATCATGTCCAGCAAAAACTAAATGGACGGAATAAATTCGAGTAAAAAGGCCAGGTTGTTATCATAACCATCTAATAAGATAAATATGGAAATAATACAAATAAATAAATTCTTAATACACTTTTACGTGTTTAAATTATATTTTAAATTAACTTTTAATGTTTAAATTTTTTTTTACTAAAAATTAGTGTCCAACGTTTTTTTTCTTACACTTTTAAGTTCCTATCGTTATTTTTTTATAATAAAAATATTATTTTTCAAAGAGGAGGAAAAAAAATCCAACCCCCACCCCTTGCCTCGTGATCTCCCTTTCTAGCCGCCATCCGTTGACCACCCTTCACCAGTCGTCTGTTGTGTGTGTTGCCATCACCCCCGAGTTTGCCATTGTCCTGCTACCAAATCCCTACCACCGTATTTCACTCACGTCGATCATCATTCGCCAGAAAGTCGTTAAAAGTCGTGTCTTCTTCTCTATCTCTATTGCTGAAATCACCCATTTTTTGTGGCAATCGTCGCTTGAATCATGGGGGTTAGTCTATTGGGTGTTCGAACAATCAGGTGTCGATAAGATTTCAGTCGATTGGTGGTGATTGTGACGGTCGATGGTGAAGGGATTGGAATTAGGATTTTTTGTTGTTGGAATTTTGGGGGTTTTTTAATAAAAAATACAATTTTAATTTGTTGAAAATATTTTGATATTTCGATATAACAAATTAAGTTAAATGAATTTTAAGATTTTCCAAAAACAATTTCTAAGTATATTCGATATAATTATTCGAATATCAAAATATTACTCCAAATCTTTCAAATGTTATTTTTAATCCTTACTCAAGTATAAAATTAAGTTTTAATCTTAAATAATTTCAAAACGATTTTACAAAATATTTCGAACCATTTCAAAGCCAAAAATTCCAGATTGCTCAGAGGGAACCGATTTCCCCCAAGGGGGTACCGATTCCCCCTGAATGGTTTGGCTCCGAGAATTCCAGTATGCTCGGAGGGAACCGATTCCCCCCTAGGGGGTACCGATTCCCCCCCTGTGTAACGGTCGAAATATTTAAATTTTACACTTAGGGAACCGATTCCCCCCACGCTCCAAACTGTTTTATTAATTGATTTCACACTAAAACGACTATATTATCTTCATTAATGATCCCCAACGTTCAGAAGTGATTCAAGGTGTATTTAAGCAAGCTTAGAAGCCATTGATCAATAACAAGAAACATCAAGCAATTAGAATCAGGAGAGAATCAAAGAGAAAGCATCAAACCTCAAGTTTGAGCATTTCAAGCCTATTTTTCATTCAATATTCATTTTGCTTTCAAGAACACTTATTGTGCTCAATTGTATTCATTCTTGAGTGTTCTTTTCTTTGTTCTAGAATTGTGCAAACAATCTACCTTGTGAGGATTTCCTTGTAAGTTTGCAAATTTGTATTGTTCTCTTTGGGAGAGAGTGTTCTCAAGAATTTGGGGTATAATTCTTGAGGGTTTGTAAGGTTACTCTTTGTCCTCAAAAGAAAGACAAATTAGTGAATTTGTGGAAAATCCTTAGTGTGGATAACTAAGGTAGTGGACGTAGACTTTGGTTGAGAAAGTCGAACCACTCTAAATCGTTGTGCAATTTCTTTCAATTTTCTGCAAAAGCTTCTACCAAAATTTTTATTGCCAATTCACCCCCCTCTTGGCCAATTTCGTCAATCGATTAACTCAACAATTGGCATCAGAGCCTAACTTATTTGAAGGTTTAATCGACTCTTGAGTTGATTCGGGAAGAGTTACATCGATAATCAAAGTCATCAATGGCCTCTACTTCAAACTTCGACTCCGGTCTCGATTCGATGCTCGTCAACAAGCCTCCTTTCTTCAATGGGGCTAATTATACCGATTGGAAAAATAGGATGATGTACTTCATTCAAGCAAGTGACATGGGAGCATGGAATGTCGTAGAAGAAGGATACTTCAAGCCTCTCACTCATCCAAGATTATGGAGTGAAGGAGACAAAAATGTTCCAGCTCAACTCCAAAGTCATCCATATCATATTTTGTGCTCTTGGACCATATGAATACGAAAGAGTTTCATCTTGTACAACCGCCAAAGAAATATGGGACAAACTTCAAGTCACCCATGAAGGTACCGATGAGGTAAAGAAATCTAAAATTAGTATTCTAACGTATAGCTATGAAAATTTCAGGATGAAACCAAATGAAGATATCAAAGCTATGATGAATAGATTCTCAACGATTGTCAATGGTCTCAAATCATATAGAGAGATCATTTCAAATGAAAAGCTTGTGAGGAAGTTAGTCTACTCCCTCCCAAAATCGTGGCAATCAAAAGACGGCAATCATCGAGTCTAAGAATCTAACATCCTTAACTCTTGAAGAACTAATCGGTTCACTCCTCACTCATGAAATGATGCTTGAAGATGAGGTGGACCTTGATAAGATTGAAGAGACACCAAAGGAGAAGGAGAAAAATAAAAACATTGGAGTTGTTCTCAAATACACAAAAAATAGAGTGATTCGGATGAATGACGATGACGAGGAAATGGCATTGTTTGCCAAAGGGTTCAGAAAAATGATGAGACTTTACCGAGGAAGAAATTCAAACGAAATGAAGGCCTAAAAAATGAACCAAAAGAGAAGGACCCGATCATTTGCTATGAATGCAAAAAGCCGGGCAGTCAAATATGATTGCCCACAACTGAAGAGAAAGGATCAATCAAAAATTAAGCACAAGGCTCATATGGCTACATGGAGCGATGAAGAAGGTTCTGATGAAGAGGAACAAGAAGTAGCAAACTTGTGCTTGATGGCATTCGGGGAAGATTCTAAGGTAACCTCTAACTCATGATTTTGATGATTTATCCTATGATGAGTTATTAGAGGAATATAATGGGTTGGCTACGGATTATGAGAAATTGTTTTTAAAATATAAAAATGATGTTTCAAAATTAAAAAATGAAAATAAACTCACATCCAAAACCAACAACGATCTTGAAAGTAAAATCAAAGATTTACAAATCAAACTAGAAGAGTTTGAAAAGAAAATTTGGATTTGCAAAATTTACTTTCAAAGGTCAATGATGATCATCAAAAGAAAATTGATGATCTTAAAACTTCTTTTGATAAAGTTGGAACAAAACGTTTTGAAAATGGAGAAAATTCAAAATCCAATTTTGTTAGAAAAAGTTTTAAAACTACAATCATAGAGGTCCCCAAAGAACCTCTAATGGATAAATCGTTAGAAGTATATGGGTTCCTAAAGAGTTCATTACTACTAAAGATAAGGATATCCTACACAAATGGATACCTAAGGGGACTAGGATTTTGGAAACTAATGAATATGGACCCAAAAGAATTTGGGTACCAAAAATTAGAAATTAATCTATGTTTGTAGGAAAAAGAGCATTGCTACAAGGCATGGGAAACAAATCCAAATTCATGGTATCTTGATAGTGGATGCTCAAGACATGACCGGATACAAAAACTGGTTCATTGAACTT